CCCCTCGATCACACCCTTCCAGACGGCAGCCACGCTCCTGCAGGTGACAGGAGGGCAGGGGTTCCATCTCCTGCCTCCCTGCCAGCTTTTGGGGGACACCCAGCAGGACAGCCAGCACCTCCCAGTCTGGGCTGTCACCTCCCAGTCAGTACCACAACCTCAGGGACATCCCACCCAGGGGCACCCCCAATCCTGGCTGGCGTCTGGCCAGCTGGGAGACCCAGGGATGGGCACAGCCAGTCCCAGCTGCTTGTCCCCTTCCCTGTCCCGTGTCCCCAGCCCACCTGGAGTCGCTGGCCTCGCCGCGGCCCCGCTGCCAGTCCCTCTTCACAAACTGGGCAGCCAGACGCTGCAGCGCCTGTGGACACAGCCCCTGCCACCCCCTGGGGGTCCCCAGAGCAGGGGCACACACCCCCTCCCCACAGCAGGGACCCCATCCTGCTCCCTGCAGGAAAAGCCTCCACCACAAGACCACATGCTGCAGGTTTTGGGGCAGAGTGGTCCTTTTTGGATCAGGGAGGGGAGACCAGTGAGAGGAGCAGCTGCAGAAGAGCCCCCAGCAAAGCCAAGCACAGCAGGACCCCAACCCTGGGATACAATCCCTTCCCAGCCTCAGGGGGAGAGTGGGGTGAGATGGCACCTGGGGCACCTGTGCTGCAGGGTGTTCCCAAGGGACATGGCAGGAACGTCCCAGGGAGCAGACCCAGGGTTGCCATTACAGTGCAGAGCCCTGCGATGACCCAGCAGACAGCAGAGCCAGGCAGTTTCCTCCCCCCTCTCCAAGGTTTTCCTTCCGGGCTCCCAAAGCACCCGAGGTCTGGGCCATGCTGTGCTCAGCAAAGCTCCCCAGCGGGTGCCCTGATGTGACCTGGCCCTCCCAGCAGGGAAAAGGCTGAGCCCACCCCCCACTGCCCTGCCCGGAGCAGCCAGGCCCTGCTCTGCCCCAAGAATTCCTGCCCATCGCTGGGCTCAGCTCCGGAACACACCGCGTGGGAAGGACGGGGCCCAGCGCTCGGTCCCCAGGGTGCTGGCACCTCCTTACCTGCCCATACTCCCTGTCGATGGCAGCCCTCTGCTTGCTG